ATTATATACGTAACACATATATTATTTTAAAAATTATAAATAAGTGATAAACTATTTAAAATGACTTGAAAATATTTATATATATATATATATATATTATTTTATTTTTTTATTTTTTTATTTTTTATTTTCTAAAACTAATTATTCGAAATCGTTTGAAATTAAAGAAGCTCGATGATTAATCTATATTGTGGAGGTCCAAAATTGGGTGTCAACAACAATCTCGACCCAATCCCAATGACCTGGCCCAAACCCTTGGTCAAGACAAGAGGATGCTCAGACGTGTGAATACAACAATAATTTCCAAACGCCAGAAGACGAAAAACAACCGACATCCACAATTCTACAGATGGTGTCTTCTCCGTCAACAGCAGCAGCCTGACGCGTGAGCATACATCGAGTAACGGTCTCAAACGGCGTCAATTGCGCGTGACCCGTACAGCTGTGCCTCGTCCCCTTCATACTCGAACAACTTTAGTCGCAGCAAGGCAGAGCCGCCTGCAAAATTGGTCCTGCCAGCAGCGTCCTCGGCTCTCTTGGATTGGCGCCACGTCGAGTACGAGGACGGGAGATCGATTCTAGCCATCCATTCCCCTTTCCTCTTCCGAAATAGGGAGAAAAATCCAGAAAAAAAATGTCGTCCCTGATCGGTGAAAAATTTTGAATTTTAAATTTGGAGGGGATCCATTCCTATTTGATTTTCCACCCTCCCCCCCCCCCCCCACAATCTACCCTAATAATCCCCTATATATATATTCTCTTCTTACTCTTGTTCCGGAAGATTTTTTTTTTTTTTTGGTTTTGGCTTCCATTGATGCAAAGAAATAGCTCAAAGGAAAATATATAAAAATACATATGAAATAGACACAAAATAGAGGGTCGAAATTAAGCGAGAGTCAGTCTTCTTAAACCATATAAATTTGGAGTCTAGATTTCGGGTTTCTTTCCAGCATTTTGCTCACCAAAGCTCATCGGCATTTGATTCAAAGTGGTGGAAGTTTCTTTGTGTTTAGTTCGTCTTCCCGGTTCGCTGCCCCAAAAAAGGTAATGTCTTCTCCTTTATCATATCCTCGTTGTCTCTTCTGCTATTTCAAAGTGGCATTTCGATGTTAGAAAACCTTTATGTTGTGGTTGTTTGCTGTTAGTTGACATTGTAGTGGATCACTAGTTTCGGATCTGCAGATTACATATTTTCTGGCCTTACTTTGTTATTATTATTGGTTGGTTTGTTCATGTTTGAAGTATGCAATTTTCTATAGCGTTGGTTGCTATCTCTCTAGTTGAATAAGAAAGCAAGATACGTATCTTTTCTATTTCATTTAGAGTTCGCTGTTGGTTATGAAGAAAATGGTTGGTTATGAAGAAAATGGTTGTTTATGCATATTACTTTTTTATGATAAGTTGAATGCTTGTTTATTATGGGCTGTTTTTGGGATTTTAGTTCTTCTTAACCTCATGTCGTCCCATTTTTGAGTTCGGTAATATCCATTCACGCCAGGAGAAGTATGCCTTGACCCGTTTGCTTTTCTTATTGATCACTATTATTAGAATATTTACTCTTTTAATACTTACTGTTGGGATTATAGTTAGGCATGCATGGTCTATTCAAAGTCGTTTAATCATTAGTTGGCCATGGCTTATTATTATTATTATTGTTATTATTATTGTTAGTTGGAAATCTTAGGATAAGGCACTAATTCATTTGCTCTTAGTGGTTTAAGGTTGTTGAAATATCATTTGTATTGATTTAAGTCCCTTTGTAATACACCTTGTCTTCTTACAATGTTTACATTGAAATGTGGTAGTACATAAATTCATTCTTATTTGGTATTTACTTATATTATACCATGATTCCTTACTTACAAGTTTTCATTTTTTTTTTATGTGACATCTGCCCGAGTTCACCATGAACTCCCATATGTTTTCTTGCATTTCGAGATAGGCCATAAAGGCCCCAATTCCTCCCTTCTCTCGAGTCAGCCCCCATGTTGAACAGTTGGTGTATAGATTGAAAGCAACAAATAGAGGCTGAAATTCGAATTTCCAAACTCCAAAAAGCCTGAAAAAGGGGTTGTATACACTGCTATACTTGATATATACAACGGTATACAAAAAATAAAATAAAAATAAAAATACAAGTGATACAAGTTAAATTCGGAGTTGCAGGCTGGAACACGCAAAAAATGCAGGTGTACAGGTTTAAATACAGATATACATGAACAAATGCAAGGATTCAGGCTCCAATTCATTCCGTATACATTGATATACACTCTGTGTATATGACTTTCTTAAGGTTAAAAAAAAATAGGCCCAAAGAAATTGTCAACAGGTCCAACAGTGGAAATGGGCCCAAGAGGTCAAAGGGAAGGTCCAGCAGAAAAATTTGGATTTAAATAGGCCCAAACCCATGATTGGGTATTTCTAGTATTAGGACAGGTTCACGAATTTGGGCCAAAAGTCCGAATTTGATTTTTCTTCTCCCTTATATTTATTTATATTTGTGTCGACTAACTCTTTTGTGTTTGGTTATTATTTAATTAAATTCCCCGAGAGAAATCATTTCCTCTTTTCTTATACTTAGTTTAAATATATAAATATTTTTTACTTACCACTTAGTTTTGCTTATACTCTTTAATTTGACTTGAACTTTACAAGTTATTTCCCTTTAGAATGACCCCCTTTTATTTATTTCCCCTTAAATCATTAATTAAAAAAGCAATAAATAAACAAATAAATAAAAAAGGAATTTCTTTTTACTTAGTTAATATTTCCTAAAACTAGTCAAAGTCATTTTAGTCAAATCGTCGGTCAACCGCAAGTTAGCGGACATTTCGAGGGCCTAACACCTTCTCGGAATGTATATTGAACTTTGAACCCTTTTATGTTTCAATTGATTTTATCTGTTTAAATCGTTTTGAAAACCTTAGGTTTTTTCTTGATTTTTACTAAAAAATTAAGTGGCGACTCTGTTCTTTTGGAAATTCGATTTCTCTTAAACCATAAGTTTAATTGACTTTTCGAAAACTAAGTCATTTTTATTTTATTTATATTTTCGAGTAAAACACCTAGTATTCAGATTCTTGCTTAAAACAAATTTCTAGTCTAATATTCTATGCTTGTTAATGTAGTTCAATTTACATACGTTACTTTTTTGTTTAATTCTAGTTACTATATTTCTTATGAAGAAGATGCAATTTCTTGGAATGATCAATCCTGCCTTAAGGGTCTGGTGATAGTCTTATAATCATGTATGTAGCTATGCATTTTAAAAGATGATCTGTGATGTTGGTTGCATTTTTAATTTATTCATTTATCTATTTATTGTTATTATTATTTTGGAGAAGAATCATGTGTTAAAGTCCTCACCCTCCCTTCTAAGACTATTAAAATGGATCCATATGTGGAGTTATGTATCTTCTCTGCAATGTTTATGTGATTATAATTAATTTTCTCAATGTAGTTAGTTATTAACGAAAGTGAGTATATTGCTCTTTGGTCTTGCTTCTTTTAGGAGCCTTCTTTGATGTGAATCCATTGGAGCATTGCATTACTTTCTTCCGTTGCTTTGTACAGTAGAGTATCGTGCTATTTTCGATTAAATCTAACTTGTGATTACAACATATCAACTTAGGCTGTTGGTTAGTTTCTCCGTTTGTATTGATTAAATCGTGAAATAGCTTTGGTTTGAGTTCATTCACTAGTAACAAATAAAATAGTTTAAGCTTACGTGATTAGTATATCTTACTCATTTTAGTTGGTTACATTTTAACTTGAAATATTTGCATAAATCTGGGTAATATTGTTATCTTTGTAAAAGCTCCTTAGTTGATTGGATTTGTTATTTTATATTATAGCAATGAATAATTATCAAATTTTATAGTTAAGTTGATATGAATTGTGAAGCCTTTGACTGATCCATTATTCTCTTCCTTGGCATGAACCCGTCTTTCCTCCCTTCGCATTTTGAGAGTGCCATAAAGGCTGAAAATCCTTTTATCGAGTCAGCCAACCTTGAGAAATCAAAGAACAAGTCTTCGGAGTTGACGTACAGGTCCTGGAAAGCAGAAAAATGAGCTGTATACATCTATATACACCGATATACAATTGATGTGTACAAAAAGGGGAATTGGGTTAAACCCCAAAAGTAGCTACGAATTTGGCCCAAGAAAGGCCCAAATTCAATTTCACTCCCTTACTCTTAAATTATTTAATTGTGATTATTTATTGTTCGCTGTTTATTAACTTTAACTTTAGAATTGTTAATTAACTTAATCGAATTCCCCAAAGATGAGCTATTTCTTTGTGTTGTTTTGTTTTAACAAATTTCATTTTATCAACTCTTGTATTTTTTTTTACATATTTAAATATGTTTGTAGTCAAAACTTTCACTTGTCTTTATTTAATTTAAAAGATGCTCTCTTTTATTAATTCAATTGGTTTAAGTTATTATCTTTGATATAATACAAATAAATTCTAATAAATTTAATTTTGTTAAAACCTTAATCACTTGCATTTTAATTCAAATGTCTCATTTTATGTCCTCTAAAAAATAAAATAAAATAAAATGTGTCATTTATTTAACTATTTTCTCAAAGTTAGTCAAATATTTTAAATTATTATTTTTTATGTTAAATTATTTTCCCAAAAAAAATAGTCAAATATTTAATCTTAGTCGTAGGATAACTGCATGTTAGCGGGCGTTTCAAATGCCTTAAAAACGTTCTTGAAGCATAAATAAGAACCTTTTACCATTTTTTCTAAAATTTTAAAGACTTAATCTGTTAGAGTCTTTTCAAATTAAGTTTTCTTAATTTCTTTAAAAAATTAAGTGGCGACTCTTTCTAAGTATTTTTCTCAAATTATTTTATACTTAGAACATTTCAAAAAGTGATTTTTCTAAAAATAGTAAAATTACGACGTAACAGAAATAAAGATGTTTGATCTGCAACAATACCTTGCAATTACAAAAATACTAATTAGTGCAAAACTAGAAAGCAATAAGTCGTTCATTCGGATATCCAATAAAGTTGGAACAAAGAAGATTAGTATGACTTTTGTTCAAAAATGACATACACAAATTGAGAAATGGTTCAATTTTTTTTTTTAAAAAAAGAAATAAGCCTACTATTTTTCTACACGATTGATGAGGGGGGAATATTCTTTTTCTTCTAATTTTTTCTTGTGAAATTTCTACTTCTATTTTTGGTTTTTGGTCTCCAACTAAACCGACCCCATCTTGGCTCTAGTTATTTTTTTGTTGACTAAGTGTTACTCTAGTGGAAGTCTCCCTAATTTTCCTCCTCCTCTGGTCTTTTGATAGATTCAAGTTCAACTGCCTACTGCATCTAGAGTCTTTTTTATGGACGTTTGGAGGATCCCACTATCTTTAATTAGAGGTTTTAAAATGATTTTTAATTTTTTTTAGAGAATGTATGCATATTATATTGAAATACTGATCATAAAAATAATACTAATTTTGTGACAAATTCATAAATATATTATTCTACTTATAATGTTAATGAACTTAAAGAAAAAGTTATAAATACCTAGGTTAAAAATTAAATTACATATAATATAAAAAGGTATTTCATATTGTGATATAACAAGAGTAAAATGGATAATGCATAGGAAAAAGGAGAGAGTTTGATTATTGTCCAAAGTTAAGGGGAATTTGATTTTAAAAGCAAAGATGGGGTATATACATATATATATATATATATATATATATATATATATATATAATGTAATTTTGCATCTCAACGTTTTATAGAAACCGACGGACTAACTGGCAGAAGCATGCAATTTCAGCAGTCCCTTGTCAACATGAAAAGCAATTCAATATATGCAGTTACATGCTAGAGCGGGAGCGGAGGCAACATGGGCCAGGAGTTCATCTGAACCCTATTCGATATTAAATTACACTATTTTATTCAGATAAGTGTGTTCTAAATCGGTGTATCATTTTAATGAATGAAGCAAGACCAAAGAGGAGACTTCCACAAGTGTTGTGCAGGAGTCAATGAATGAGAATCTTCAAAGTCTTCTACAAAATGAACCAAAAAGGGCTAACATCAAACAAGTAGAAGGAGGTAATTCAATCTCAATAAATGCATAATTATTTTTTTGTACTTTCTATACATGGTTAAAATTATATTTTATGTGTATATAGAAGATGTTGAACCTTTAATTCTTCATATTTTGAAATTCTTAGTAAATTTTTTGACTCTATCACTGTGTTGGAGCCTGGAGGTACTCCATAACAAGCTTACTGATGCTATGAATTTAATCAGACAAATAATGAAGTTGTTAAAGAAAAATAATAATATTTAGTAGAGTCGTGATCGATTTCCTTTACAAGATAATAACCCTACAACTTTTTTAAGGGGCATTTTTTATGAGGTGATTGTTCGTACTAAATCCTCATTACTCATGATAAATAATGCAACTAATGACTTCTAAGAATAAAGAGTAACATCCAACTTTTCTTATGAATGATTTTTGTATGACTAATGTTGATTATTGGTCTTTCCTTTGAGCATGCCAAGCTTTAATCCGTTTTGTGTTCAGTAGTTTTCGGAGTGATATTGTTACTTTAGTTATTACCCACGTCTCCCTTTTTAATTGGATCATGTATGTGTCTCATCTAATTGTGCCTTGCATAACTTTTGATGCTCTCCACATGTCATGACTTTATTGGTCCGCATGTCTTGTCTATTGTTACTCTATATATACAAACAACTTTAATTTGAAATTATATTTTTCAATGTATAAACTTCATATTAAGTCAAATGAAAAAATAAACAGAGCGAGTAGTTAAAAACTAATTGGTGGTGAATTAAGAAGAAGAGTGTCTTTCTTTTGTAGTCTGAGGAGAAATCTAATCAATCTTTTCAACAATTTATAACCATACAATTCCAACAATAATTTCATATCTACTTCTATTCATCAACCAAAATATATAATCATTTTCCATTACTCAATCGTTGAAGAAATTTAATTTATGATATAATTCAAATAAAATAGAAATTTTAGCTCAAATCTTAATAATATGAAGCTAGAAGTCGTGATATAGTTAAACTGTTATAGAAAAAATAGCTTCCGCTCATAGGCCATAAATGAGGTAATTAATTTTCATAGTATTTTTAAAAATATCTTCTTTAACACTTGAAAGTGATAATTTAGTAGAGTGTTGATAGAACAAAAGTCTCGCCCAAAAAATGACAGATTGTTGATAGCAAAATACACAAAATTACATTGTAGCTTTGTAGAAATATCGTACTAAACACAACATTAATTATGAGTAGAAAAAGAAGAAGAAGAAGAAGAAGAGTGAAATGATAAGGATACGAAATTCATATGAAAGTTTTGAGTCACGAGCATAGAAAAATGAATCAAAGTGGGTTCGTGGATTCGGACAAATTCAGTAGTTTCTTCGTAGATCCTATATTTGTATTAGAAGAATTTTATATATATATTAACTTGTGAACCCCATAACAAAATTGATTGATGACTTAATTGTAAGGAAGGGGTCGTAGAATACTTTCCACACTAGTGTTTCAACAAAAGTTTCTCATTTTTTTAAAAAAAGAAAGTATGTTTTGCAATATTTTTCTCTTCTATCCTAAAGTTTAGAACCCCCAAACTTCTAATCCTTGCTCCGCCTCAGCGGTTGCAATTACAACCTTTTGAAAATATCTAATAAAGTTGGAACAATACAAAGAAGATTAGCCTGGCCTTTACTCAAAGATGACATTTACAAATTGAGAAATGATTCAAAAAAAAATTAAAACAAAGAAGAAAGAAATAAGCCTACTATTTTTCTACACGGTTGATGAGGGTTGAATATTCTTTTTCTTCTCATTTTTTCTTGTGGAATTTCTACATCTTTTTTTAGTTTTTGGTCTCCAACTAAACCGAACCCATCTTGGCTCTTGTTATTTCTTTTGTTGACTTAGGGTGTGTTTGGTATGAAGGAAAACATTTTCCGGAAAATGTTTTCCAATTTTCTTATGTTTGGTTAGACTAAATGTTTTAGAAAATGTTTTCCAAATCAACTCATTTTCCTCAAATTTAAGGAAAATAACTTCCCTTCTAAACTTAAGGAAAACATTTTCCAAAACTCTCTTCCAACTTCAAATTACAATTACTTTTTTGTTGAAAAAATCAATTTATTTTGTCCCTACCCTCAAACCACCCTCCCCCCCCAAAAAAAAAAAAATAATAATTTTAAAGCTTGTTTTTAAATTCAATTTTTTTACCCCACTCTCACCCCTACCCCCACCCCCTCGCAAAAAAAAATATTAAAAATTGTTTTTAAAAGATATTTCTAATTTCAATTTTTTACTCCCACCCACTACCCTGCCCCCCCCCCCCCATCAACCCCCCTATCAGTCCCCAATCCCCTTCAAAAAGAAGAAAAAAAACTAAATTTATTTTTAAAAAATATTTTCAACTTCAAATTTTTATTTTTTTCATCCCAATCCTCGATCACCCACGCCCCTCTCCGGTCACACACACACCCCCCCAAAAAAAAAAAATTGAGTTTGTTTTTAAAATATATTTACAAATTCAAAATTTCAGTTTTTCACCCTACCCTCGACCCCCCACCCACCCACTCCTACCCCACCCCCCAAAAAAATAATAATTTAAGTTTGTTTTTAAAAAATATTCTCAACTTCAAAATTTCATTTTTTTCATCCTACCCTTGACCCCCCCCCCCCAACCCACCTCCTACCCAGCCCCCCCCAGCCCCCCCCCCCCCCAAAAAAAAAAATAATAATTTAAGTTTGTTTTTAAAAAATATTTTCAATTTCAAAATTTCATTTTTTCACCCCTACCCAGTCCCCCCACCCCACCCAACCCCTACCAACACCCCCCCTCACGCCCAAAAAAAATTTTATTTTATTTTTAAAATATATTTTCAACTTCAAAATTTTATTTTTTCACCCCAACCCTCGAGCCCTCCACCCACCCCACCCCCCTACCATCTCCCAGCCCCCACCCCCCAAAAAAAAAATTAAGTTTGTTTTTTAAAAATAATTTCAACTTCAAAATTTCAATTTTTCACCCCTACCCTCGACCCCCCCCCTTCACCCACCCCCTACCACCCCCACCCCCAAAAAAAATTTAAGTTTGTTTTTAAAAACTATTTTCAATTTCAAAAATTATTTTCTACTCTAGTAAAAATAAAAAATATTTTTACATTCATAAATCAAACACTAAAAATCTTTTCTGGAAAATATTTTCTACTCACCAACCAAACATGAGAAAATAAGTCAAAAATCAACTTGTTTTCCAGGAAAACATTTTCCTTCATACCAAACACACCCTTAGTGTTACTCTAGTGGAAGTCTCCCTAATTTTCCTTCTCCTCTGGTCTTTTGGTAGATTCAAGTTCAACTTTCTTATTGCATCTTGAGTATTTTTTTCATAGACGTTCCGAGGATCCTTCTATCTTTAATCAGAGGTTTTAAAATATTTTTTTATATATAAAAAAAGTTGAGAAATAGACCTCTTTTGGCACAAAAAAAATTGATAAGTCAATCAGGTAATTGTCGGATACTACAACAACAACATATTCAATGAGTGCAGATTCATAATGAGTTTTTATTAAAAAAGCATTTCTTTTCACATAATGATATAGCCTGAGCAAAGTAGACCACATTATACTGGTTAGAAATTGAGCTACCTATCAATGGGTACCGCTATGTCGTCGATTTGACAGTTAATTAGCTCCTTCAACGATTAGGTAATGGAAAATGACTATATTTTGGTTGAATAGTAGATATGAAATTTATAACCATACAATTCCAATCATCTTAACAATTTCATAAATGAAGCAAGACCAAAGAGGAGACTTCAAAGTCTTCCACAGAATGAACTAAAAGGACTAACACATCAAACAAGTAGAAGGAGTTCATATAAATGCGTAGTTAATCCTTTTTTAGTTCCTTCTAATTGCATACTTTGAGTCATATCCACCTAACAATTTGCATTAAAATGATGACAACTCTGTACTTTCTATGGCTTTTCTTGATTCCCTTGTTTCAAATCTTATCAGGATATCACATTTTCTTGGTTTCCTCTCAATGTCTTCACGATCAAAAGTCGTTGTTGCTGCAGTTGAAGGGCAGCCTTCAGTATGATTCTAGTTTTTCAAATAAATTAGCAAAATGGAATCAGAAGACAAGTGAATGTTGCAATTGGGATGGGGTTACATGCGATCTCTCTGGTCATGTGATTGCCTTGGAACTGGATTATGAGACAATTTCTGGTGGAATTGAGAATTCAAGTTCTCTTTTCAGTCTCCAGTATCTTGAGAAGCTAAATTTGGCTTACAACAGGTTCAGTGTTGGCATACCAGTTGGTATAGGCAACCTCACGAACTTGAAGTACCTCAATTTATCCAATGCTGGTTTTGTCGGGCAAATTCCTATGTCATTACCAAGATTAAAAAGGCTAGTTACTCTTGATCTCTCAACTCTTTTCCCTGACTTTGATCATCCACTTAAACTTGAGAATCCCAATTTGAGACATTTCATTGAGAACTCAACAGAGCTTAGAGAGCTTTACCTTGATGGGGTTGATCTTTCATCTCAGAGGACTGAGTGGTGTCAATCTTTATCTTCATATTTGCCTAAATTGACTATCTTGAGTTTGCGTGCTTGTCAAATTTCAGGCCCTATTGATGAATCACTTTCTAAGCTTCTCTTTCTCTCTTTCATCCGTCTTGACGGGAACAATCTCTCTACCACAGTTCCTGAATATTTTGCCTATTTCTCGAACTTGACTACCTTGACCCTCCGCTCTTGTAATCTGCATGGAACATTTCCGGAAAGAATCTTTCAGGTACAAGCTCTAGAGATTTTGGACTTCTCAGATAACGAGTTGCTTAGTGGCAGAATTCCAAATTTTCCTCGAAATGGATCCTTGATGGAGCTATCACTAAGCTACACAAACTTTTCTGGTTCATTACCAGAGTCCATTTCGAACCTTCAGAACCTGTCCAGGTTGGAGCTTTCCAATTGCAATTTCAATGGATCAATACCTTCCACAATGGCAAGCCTTAAAAATCTTGTTTATTTGGATTTCTCCTTCAACAACTTCACTGGTTTTATCCCATATTTCCGACAGTCCAAGAAACTCACCTACTTAGACCTGTCACGTAATGGTCTAACTGGTCTCTTGTCTAGAGCTCATTTTGAAGGACTCTCAGAACTTGTTTACATAAATTTAGGGAACAATTTACTCAACGGGAACCTTCCTGAATATATATTTGAGCTCCCCTCCTTGCAGCAGCTTTTTCTTAACAGCAATCAATTTGTCGGCCAGGTTGACGAATTCCGCAATGCATCCTCCTCTCTGTTGGATAGAATTGATTTGGCAAACAACCACCTGAATGGATCGATTCCCAAGTCCATGTTTGAAATTGGGAGGCTTAAGGTCCTCTCACTTTCTTCCAACTCCTTTAGGGGGATCGTGCCCCTCGACCTCATTGGGAGGCTGAGCAACCTTTCAAGACTGGAGCTTTCTTACAATAACTTGACTGTTGATGCAAGTAGCAGAAATTCAGCCTCTTTCACATTTCCCCAGTTGAACATATTGAAACTAGCTTCTTGTAGGCTGCAAAAGTTCCCTAATCTCAAGAACCAGTCAAGGCTGATCCACTTAGACCTTTCAGACAACCAAATAAGGGGAGCAATACCAAATTGGATTTGGGGAATTGGCAGTGGAAATCTGGCTCACCTGAATCTTTCCTTCAATCAGCTGGAGTACATGGAACAGCCTTACAATGCTTCCAGCAATCTTGTTGTCCTTGACTTGCATTCCAACCGTTTAAAAGGTGACTTACCAATTCCACCTTCCTCTGCTATCTATGTGGACTATTCGAGCAATAATTTAAACAATTCCATCCCACTAGATATTGGATATTCTCTTGCTCTTGCCTCCTTTTTATCGGTAGCAAACAATAGCATCACTGGAATAATTCCTGAATCCATTTGCAATGTCAGCTACCTTCAAGTTCTTGATTTCTCTAACAATGCCTTGAGTGGAACAATACCACAATGTCTACTGGAATATAGTACAACTCTTGGAGTGCTGAATCTAGGGAACAATAGACTCCATGGTGTTATTCCAGATTCATTTCCAATTGGTTGTGCTCTAAAAACTTTAGACCTCAGTAGGAATACCTTTGAAGGGAAGCTACCAAAATCGCTCGTCAACTGCACGTTGTTGGAGGTCCTGAATGTTGGAAATAACCGTCTTTTTGATCGTTTCCCATGCATGTTGAGGAACTCAACCAGCCTGAAGGTCCTAGTCTTGCGCTCCAATAAATTCAATGGAAATCTTACGTGTAATAAAACCAGAAATAGTTGGAAGAATCTCCAGATCATAGATATAGCTTCCAACTATTTTACTGGTATGTTGAATGCAGAATTCTTTTCAAATTGGAGAGGAATGATGGTAGCAAATGATTACGTGGAGACAGGACGCAATCACATCCAGTATAAGTTCCTCCAACTAAGTAACTTGTACTATCAGGACACTGTGACATTAACCATCAAAGGCATGGAGCTGGAGCTTGTGAAGATTCTCAGGGTGTTCACATCTATTGATTTCTCTTCAAATAGATTTCAAGGAGTGATACCAGATACTATTGGGAATCTTAGCTCACTTTATGTTCTGAACCTATCACACAATGCCCTTGAAGGACCAATTCCAAAATCGATTGGGAAGCTACAAATGCTTGAATCACTAGACCTGTCAACAAACCACCTATC